CCCCCCAACACAAGTCTTCCAAAATGCAAAAAATCTAACACCATTAAATTTTACCTAAAAATGAAGCCACCTCCGTTAAATTTTCCAAAGTATTGCAACCACTAGAGACAAAAGACCCTGTCTTTGAAATGTTCATACTATGACAAGGTGTCCTCATCCTCATTTTGTGCTATGGTTTTGAACCATGCCTTGGACATCTCCGTCGTTGGATCCTATATAAACCATTCCAACCATTCTCTGTGTTTCAACTCTCCCGTTTGGGTACAGATAAAACAAAAACAAAGATGGCTGCTTTTTCTTGTACATTCTCCTTCCCTGTAAGATGTTCTTATGATAATAGCAGTCATGAAATGGGTAAGAAAGGGATCAAGAACAATGGGACTTCAAATGGGTCTGTTAAGTTTGAGACACTTAAACAAACGGCTGCTGGAGTTGCTGGCGCTGCTGTTGGTACTGCTGTTGCCTCTGTAACTGGAAATGCGTATTTCAACATTGAGCAGATCCGGCAGAGGATTCCGACCAAGAAGCAGTTGGTGGATCTTCACCGTCAGGGGCTTATAATCGAGCGGGGTGTCGGATATAGACAAACTGTTGTCATCCGGTCCTATGAAGTTGGTCCTGATAAGACTGCTACTTTGGAATGCATCCTTAATCTTTTTCAGGTGTGATATCGAATTTGTTAAAAGAGGTCGTTGATTATAGATGGTTTGTAATTTTCGGTAGTATTATGTAGGAAACAGCACTAAATCATGTGTGGATGTCCGGACTTCTCAGCAATGGATTTGGGGCTACTTATGGGATGGTGAGGAACAATCTCATATGGGTTGTCTCCAGAATGCAAGTCCAAGTCGATCACTACCCAATATGGTCACTCAGTCATTTCATCGAACACATAATGAACTAAACAATACCAATGCAAGACTTGATTTTTCAAGCCCAATTCCAAGTTTCCCTAGAATCAAACATCCACATGACATGAAAAATAAATGGGAATTCATCATTTTCTCTGCTCTCTAATCAACGCAACTAAAAGTGCATTTCTTGGAAGGGAGAGGTGGTAGAAGTTGACACATGGGTTGAATCATCAAGGAAAAATGGGATGAGAAGAGACTGGTTAATTCGTTCTCAAGGCACAGGACTCATCTTTGCTAGAGCAACTAGGTGTTCATATCTTCTTGATGCCTTTTCTTTTCCTTTCTGGTAGTTTTTCTCAGCTCCGGAATTGTAAATCCCACTAAGGAATACCCTAAAACATGTATAACAGCACATGGGTAATGATGAACCAGCAAACAAGGCGGCTCTCAAAGATGCCAGAAGAGGTGAGAGCTGAGATTTCTCCCTGGTTCATAGCGAGGCAAGCAATCAAAGAAGATGTTCCTGAGAAAATTTTCAAGTTGGATAGCAATGCCAAGTATATGGACTCTGACTTGAAGGTAAAAAAAAAAGAAAAACACAAACAAACAAACTTGTAGAGCTTATGGCAGAGCTCAAGAAGCACATACTGATTTCGTTCTATTCCATAACTTGTAGCCCAAGAGGAGTGATCTGGACATGAATCACCATGTAAACAATGTCAAGTATGTCAAATGGATGCTTGAGGTAAAAACAACTAGGAACTAGTCATCATCAATCCAAGGTTAATTATTAACCCAGTTCCAGTTGAATTTCTTGTTTTGTTCTTTTTCTTCTACAGACTATTCCTGACCAGTTTTTAGAGACTCATGAGCTATCTGGTATAGTCCTGGAATATAGAAAGCAGTGTGGGAGTTCAGATATAGTTCAATCATATTGCCAACCGGATGAAGATGACATTTTCAGCAATGGGGTACTTCCAAACAAGGATGTTAGTTTACTGAATGGGTTTTCTTTGGCATCCGAAATCATGGATGGCAATGGACTTCTGGGTTCCTTGGATAGCAAGCCATACAGGTTTACTCATCTCCTCCAAACCGAAGGGGAGAATCAAAAGGAAGAGATTGTTAGGGGAGGAACTACGTGGAGGAAAAAGATTTCCACCATGCCCTTTTCCATCTAGTAGCACAAGAGACAATTCCTAGGGATTTAAGAAGCCGATCCTCGTTCAACATCATTGAAGGCATTCTCAGTCCTTGTAACCTGAGAGGCTCTGAAATGATTTTGAGAAAAAGGGAATGTGGTGCGTCTGCTCTATATGTCCCAGAATTGTTTATGTTCTGGTCCTGTGTTCATGGGAATATGAAGATCTTAATAAAGGCAGTACTACTGCAGGCATGGTGGGAGCTCAGAGAAAGGTGCCAGAACAGAAAGCAAGAGTGTTTCATAAATGAAATAAGTGTCTAATTTCTGTTCATTGTCCAAGATAGAATGCTTTCAAGTAGAAGACTATGCGAATGCCATTATTTGGTGTAAGAAGTCCATCTTCATAACTTTCACATGTATTAATGGAAATTGTTTGAGTGTTTATAAGAATGATGAAATTATTAGTTTGCAATCTATTTCCAAGTTCCATCTGGCAGTTCTATACGGTCAAACAAGGATTGCTGATAAATGACAAGGAAATGGTCAGATAATGTCTATGCTTGAAAAATTCTTTATTTAGTTTGTCTTCTAAAGAGACAAATGTGCAATTATAATTTTTAGTCACCTAAAATTAGGGATGGCAACAGGCCCCATGGGGTTAGGAAGTACCTCCGTATTCTCATTTATGTAAGATGAAGATAGAATTTGTCCACATCCCATTACCTGTGAATTCCCCTCACCCCCCCTCTTTGATATATATTATAAAATTAATTTAAATATTTCTCTTTTATTATTTAAAAAAGATTGTAAATAGTTGGGTTAAAGTTATAAAAAAGAATGTTAGATTTGATTTGGTTTAAAATAATTAGATTTTAGTACTAAATTAAATTTAAAAATGAATAATAAATGTTTCTATAATTATGAGTTAAATATTTAAATTGTGTTAGATTTAATATTTTTATTTCTTCAATATTTTGTACGGAATTGGGATCCTCATAGGATAAAAAAAATTTTCTTACGAAAATTTCATGAGAAAAAAATACTTCTAATCTAAACCTCACTTTCATGGCAAGAATCTCTACAATGTCCACAAGTATTGGGGAGAAATTGCCATTCCTATGTAAAATATAGTGTACAAACTTAATTTTAAATTCTAAAAAACAATATGGGCTTTGGTACTGTTTGGTTTAATCGTTTTCTTAAAAACAAAAACACTAATTTAATCTATTTTCAACTACCACAAAAATAAACTTTTCTCTCAAGAAATGATCCCCACTTAACAACCAATCCAACCTCCTAAAGTTCCAAAAGCAAGCATTTGAACAAATTTTAAAAGGTAAAGCATGGCATGATAAATTCAGAATGTGAAATATGATACAAGATGAGAAAATTAAGTGAAAAACTTGCAATTTAAGTAAATAATGGCAAACTGAAATCTTGTGAACTTGAATTAAGAAGCACTTTTGGAGCATCCCAGCAATAAAGAATAAATATAGTCAGTTTAAAACTGTGATCCACTAAAACCTATAAGGGAAAATGCATTTACAATTTATAGAAGTGGTAGGCATGTACAATCATTTTGGTGGAGAAGCTAGAATAACAATAACGAATAAAAGAATGGTCTACCTCCTGGAAAAATTATCGCATCTTTCTCCCCATAGTCTGGTGCAGTTTCCATGACCAAACCAGAATGAATGCAACAAGTCCAATGCCAACAGACGACCAGAAGATGGCCAGCCAGTTTGGCATTGGATTAGGATATAAGCCTAGAGCATTCAAAAACCCCAAAAGAAAAAGGATTACTACTATGAAACTGATTTTAACAAAAGCCAAATCCATAAGTTATAAACATACCATGTCCAAATTTGATACAAATGAGAAGTTCAACAATGCAGATTGCAACAGAAAGCCAGCAAAACGCTCCAACCTTCTTCACTGGTTTCCTGAGAAACACACATGCTATTTAAGCAAAACAAGAACTTTTCGAAGGATTTTAAACATCTTTTCTAAGTAACGTATATTTGCACAAGAGAAAAAAGGGAGAGGGTGTGTACCGATCTTGAAGGTATGAATTATATTCACGTATGGTGGGTATTGCTATTAACCACCACAAGATCAACCTATATATAATCACAGGGTTTCGAGGAGGAACCCAAAGACAAAACTTCAGAAAGAATGTGTTCAGTTCCACTGTCAAAAAGCCTATGCAAAGGCTTAGAACTTGAATGAAACGCCATGGATCAAGTAGTGGATGCCACTCATCTTTGTCCCACTGTGCTGGTGTAAATTGTCCTAATGTTCTTTTAACCTGTCATGTGATCACCATTATGACTTGAAATTATCACCCACATTACTCAATAAATTCAAAACTCATGCAAGACTTTTATTAAAAAAAAAAAAAAAAGTTAAGATCAAGGCTAACAGAAGACTGCAAGGAACAGGAAGAAAATAAAATGTAGAAATTGGCTCCACTTTCAAGCTAATTAAGGCTTCGGTAGCATATTGGATATACTAGCTTTAAGGTTTCAGATGGTTTCCCGGATTTACAATGGAAATGAGGTTAGTTAATGACACTACACATAAGCCATCAGAACCCAAAAGGCAGAATGATGTAAGAATTATAATATTTAGGTTAATAAAAGGGAAAAATTATAAAATAAAAGTATAAAACATACTTTTCCAAAGATATTAGGCTGCCGGCTTATACCAACCCACTCGTATGTTTTTCCATCAAAGTACCTTACAGTGTGCATTCCAGCCCAAATGCCTACAAGTTTGCCAAAATATCATGTTAGAACCAAGTTGCAAGCAAAATGACAAACTCTTCATTTCAAACCAAAAATCAACAACAAAATGATATTTCAGTGAAGGCCTACTACGTGCAATAAGTTAAATCAAATTTCATGATGGCAGCACAGAAGCTAAAGCAATTTGAAACTATAGTCAAGGAATTGATAATCTAAATAGACAAACATTTTAATTATGTGCAGTCTCTTCCTCTAACAATTAAAAATGTTATATGGCAATTATTGTCTCTTTTGCTAATCACTATCTTGAGTGTCAAAATATGGTTGAAGAACAGCAAAACTTACTACCATTCAGATTGAAACAAATGCCACATAAGTGCTAATGCAATCACAGCAAACATGTATGTACTTGAATCAGGAGAACAAGAACTTGACAGTCTTGGAAATAAATATGTCGATGTAAGTATCAATGTAAAAAGTCTGATGAAAATTGAACGTCATCCATGGCAAAAATGGAAAGCTGAGAATAATCTGAATTGGAGAAAGAGCCTATTTGATGTTATTTCCTACAAATTATGAAGCTTTGCCTTCCTACAGAGAATCATAAAAGATATGCTTGACCAGATACAAGACAACAAATATATGGTATTTCCAGGACCAGGTCAATCAAATAATCCATATTTTATCTTTGCTTTGTATATGCCTTCTACTTGCCCTGTCTCTTCAATTATAATCACCACTAATCAAAAGGAGAAAACCTCAAACCTATAGCACTCCATAACAACAATGGCAACCAGGGAAAGTCAAACGAAGAATGAATAGGAAAATAAAAAACAAGAAGTCCTTATGGAATCTCACCAAACCAATTACATATCAAAATGTCAAGAATGATGCTATCCCACCAACACTCATTGAAGTTTGGTAGCATGTGTCGAAAGGTAAACTGAGAATGCCAAAAAGAAGGATAGAAGTCAGTCTATTGATGCAAAATAAAGAGCTTGGACATGCATGGGTGACAGAAAACAATAATCCATCAAGTGAAAAACCTGGACAACAGAATACATCAAAGTGCATCAGAGGCTAACCTCCATCAACTCAAATCCAATTGAAAGCACCCAGAGAAGTGGCTGATTGCGAATTAAAATAGCCTTGCCCCACCAACCAAAAATATGGGCTAGGACAAATTCATCAAAAAGTGTTTCCTAAAAAAGAAAAAAAAAATCAACAGCATGTAGGACAGTACAGTATCAATCTACATCACGAAAGGAGAGAATAAGGAGAAAAAGAAAAAGGAAAAAAGAAAGAGGTGCACAGATTGGGAAAGAAGAATTCATACATAAACATTCTTAAACCTGCTTGTAGGGATTTCAGGAGTATATATTCGACAATCAGCACCATATGACCTTTCTGGAAGTTCTGCATTGAATCATTCAAACAGAAACTAAGAAACTTGAAATTCAATGATGAACAAATTAGAAAATCTTAAATTCATTAGAGATACAAGAAGGATGGAGAAGAGTAATTCATTTTAACAGCCTTAAGAGTGGAAAAGCATTACCAATACCAAGGTCCGGATGAAGAAACTTCATGAATTGACGGGCATCATCACGCTTCTGAGAAAGTGAAATCAAAAGCAACTATCAATAGCCATTAATTGAACTTTAGATAATGAAAGGAACTCATATATTTACAAACAAGACAATATTTATCAATGGTAAAAACTCCAAATTGTTAAGTGCCAAAGGCAACTAACCTGGAAAAGCAAAAATGTAAGAGCAACAAGGTAAATAACAGCCATTCCATGAACTAAGCGCCAAATTGCAGGATGTGGTCGAATAAGGATCCTGTAAGTGTGAAGTTTCATGATTAGAATTTAAAAAGCTAACTGTTTACAATTCATATTGACACATAATCCACTGACTTAAAGATCATATCTTAAAGAACATATCAGGTAAGTCTGAAGTAAATCATCAGATACCCTATAACTAAAGATCGGACAACAGACCAAGTTTTACACAATAATTCATCCAATGACTTACGTAGAAGGGGCCTGTAGCAAGCAGTAAGCAAGGAAAACAGCAATCATTGCCCATACACCCCTACAAAAAAGAGCACGCTGGAATCACTTTAAACACACTAATAAGCAAAAAGGTAAAAACATGCAATATACTATATTAGCAAACAAGAAGAAACCTTTTTACAGATGTAACAAGGTCACCAGATTCACTGCTTTCAGGATCAAGAGCGCCACTTGCCCAACTGATAATACATGCGGAAGAAAATTTTGAAAAAGAGCAAATTAATATAACACTCATTTACTTTTAAAGTGTATAACATGGAGAAGTAAGCAAGTGGAAAGAATAACCAAAGCAACTTACAAAAAGTAATTCTGTAATCATAAATCATAATTACACTATCCTGTTAATTATTTATTTATTTTGGCCACACTATCCTGTTAATTTTACAAGTACTGTAAGTCAAATCCGAAATCCACTGGCCTAAAATTTTTGTACAAGTCGTAGTCATTGTATCCAACAACCTACTGTTTATGTCAAAAACAAAAGCTCCAAGCATTCAGAGTCATGGTTTCATAGAATTTGTAACAGATAAGACAGCAACATCAAGTGCGTATATCCAAAGTGACTAGGACCAGAAAATAGAGAAACTAACAGTAAAACCCAAGTATTAAATTTAAAGATTATATCTACAACAGAACAACCTTTCCAAAACAAAGTACAATTAACAGATAAATTGCTGAAACTAGGACAAGTGGAAAACTATGTTTTCTATGACAACCAGAAAATTCCTCAGACTCTAGCCAGGATTAAGGAACATGAAGAAAAACAAAAGGGAAAGATGCAATTCCATCCAGATAAGAAATTAACTGTCAAGAATTGTACCAGAAATCTATAAATTGTGCTATGAAACAAATGTTGATCCTTGAAAAGGGAAAATGTAGGATTGACTATATATTACTTTTCAACTCTTTCAAAAAATTAGTATATCTTGGCAGGGCACTCACATCAGAAAGCAAGCTCCAATAAGCAACAATGAAATGGTACGAGGCTTGTATGCCCATGCAGTCCATGGATCCAGTTCATCAACAGCAGATGATAAACCATGATTACCATTTTCCTGAGAGAGAGGATCCCTTCTTCTCACCCTTCTATGTCCATTAGGCTCCATAAGACCCACCGTTTAATAAATAAACTTGCGTACTGCAAAACAACACCATTATGTTTTAATAAGATTCAGGTAATTAATCACAAATGAATTTCTAAACAAACCCATCCTTACAAGAAAAGAGAGATGTGATAGCAAAAGAATATTAGGCAGAAACATTTGAATAACATAATAATGCAATAGAAGCAGGACCCTATACCCTATCTAATAACATATATGCACACAAAACATTTAATCCATGCACCAGATCAAACATCAAAAGGAAACACAGCCATTAACCAACTGTTCTAAAAAGGAAAAAAGGACTTTAGTTGGAGCATTTAAATTTCTTTGACTTCAAATTTCCATGAGTTCAAAAAGTTGATAAATTTTCACCTCCCATATATAAATCTGTGTAGAGTAATCTGAAGAGAAAAGTAATTTCCTACTAACTGAATCAAGTTTAAGAAGCAAACCATCATCCACACCATAAGTTCTATGATAAGTAATCAAATGATTACATAATGTTTGCAAGGTAACTTCATTCATGTATAAGTGCTTATGGGTAATTTATAAGTGTGATCCTAACTCCAGTTAATTATTTCAAAAACCTTGCATATTACAAAAGAGAATCTAATTCTAGAAAACCTGAAGAAAACCTACGTGTTAAGGCTGGAGCATTTAAGATCACTTCCATAGAAGCATTATAGATATAGAAACATAAGTAAAAAATTAATCAGGTGAAAGAAAAACTCAGACCAGCCAATTCTACCTAAAGTAATGGTTCCTATAGCTTCCCCAAGTAGTGAAACTGACACTCAGTAAAAAGTTCACTTGATGTGACAATGCACTTAAATCAAAGCTCCCACAGACAAAAAATAATATTCTACATGGTAATATGTCTACCACACATTATCAAATCAGATGGTTAAATAGGTGCTCCGAGTGTTATCAACATATCGGTGTAAAAACCAAGCGTCTTTTCATTTCACTCATCTTAAAGCGGCTTTCACCAGAACGAAAAGTAAAGAAACTGCAAACTTTAAGATGTCATGGAAAAGGGTGTTGTGAGGGCTAGACATCTTTATGTTAAGGTTATATAAATTTGTTAATATTATTTGTAAAAATAAAAATTGTAATTATTTGATTTGATAATTAAAAATAATTGATATTTATTACTTGATAGATTAAAATTAACTTACAAAATAATGTTTTAAGGCATTAAAACCAGTTTTTTCATAAAAAATAGTCATACACTTGTAAAATATCAAACTAAGCAAACTTAGCATAATTTGTGTGATCTTAATACAACATTGTGCGGCCATAACAACACCCAGAAAACTTCTTTGGTGAAGGAAAAATTTCCAAGGACTGCTGCATTAATCGCGGCATCCTCACATGAATTGACATGAAATGTTGGGAGGATGAAGAGTAACCCGACATAGCTATCCAAAGTTAGGTGTGATGAAAGCTTCTTAAAGAGAGAGAGAGAGGGAGAGGGAGAGAGAAATAATTTAAAACAGCTAATCTATTTCATGCGAAATCTTTAAAGAAATAAGGATCATGCTTTTATCCAATTCAAGGCTTGCATATGTGTTAGGTAAGCCAAAACCTTAAATTTATAAGAATACAACATACTTGCAACAACTAAATTACAATTACAATCATAAATTTTATGATAGCAGATGCATAAGACTCAGCAGTAAGGACCCAACTCAAGATTCAGACCCAATTTTCATACTTTCAGCAAAAGTAGGCTCATTCAAAATACCCAATGCCACCATAAGCACCACAGAGAGATATATATGTAAGAAGACAACAGAAACTAACATATGGAACTAACCCAGAAAATCAACCTGGAAAACAAAATATGAGAGCATAAAGAGATCCAAACTACCCAAAAAAAATAATAATAAAAGCATAATTACATGCAGCTCCTGGTTAAACATATAAACCCATAAAAATAAAAATAAAAATAAAAAAAAACTTTTAGTCCTGAACAGCTATCTAACTGGAAAAAGGTAAACACTGTGGAGTTGAAAAGGAAATAACGGCTCAGAATAAAAACTTTAAAGCAAAATTTTACTCTGAAAAATTAGAAAAAGCAGGCATCTTTAAGCTAAGCTAATCCCAGAATGAAACGAAAACAAACAACCTAATACAAACCCAAATAATAATAATAATAAAAAGAGAAAAAAAGAGAGAAAGAAAACCCATCGTTGGTATTAGATTACATACAACGTCGAGATGAAAAACAAACGTAGATGATGATTGACGTAGCCAAGACAATACAGAATCAGAAACACACGATTAAAAATAAAAAGAAAGGAAGGAAGGAAGAAAGTGAGCCTAAAAAGGCAAGCACATTTTAATCTAATTAGAGATAGATGGATAGACTTACGTAGAGGAGCTGACAAGAGGGAGACCTAGTAGGCGTACGAAGGGAAGGACGAGAAGATCACAGCCGTGAGATTGTGTGGGAAAAAGCAATAAAGAGAAGATGGGGTTATCGAGGAAGAAGGGCGAAAGCAAAAGGACCTTTGAATAAATGGCAAAATCTCAAAGAAAAACTCCTCCTTCAGAGAGAGTGTGTATGTGTTTGTGACAGAGAGCAGAGGAAGAGAAGGCAAAGTAGCGAAGGCAAAAGGGGAAGAGGAGTGTTTTCGTATTTATATTTTGGGAGGGGGTGGAGGGAATGGGGATTGCACCAGGGGATTTTGATTTCCTTCTGCAACAGCGGCGAAAAGGCGAGGAGATATCAAAGCAATCAAAAGAATTTATAACCAAAAAAAAAAAAGAGAGAGAAAACGGAAGGGAAAGGGAAGGTAAAGGAAAACGGTACTTTGGTCAAACAGAGATTTGAAGGTCATGTGTTTCATTTATTATTATTATTATTATTATTATTATTTAAAAAATATTTATTTCCCAAAATATCCTTTTGGCATCTTTCGTTTGGGTTGTTTAATGTTGTGGGGAAGGAATATAATTAAGGTTAGATGCTTTTATGCCTTTTGGGGGTTTTTTCTTCTTTTTTTTTTTGAAAAAAATTTTACTTGTGTTTAGTTTGACTTAAATGCCCCTCAACTTTTTGAGTAGCCAATTCTTTTTGGGTTTGGAAATGATTTTCTTTTTTCTTCAATCAATTGGAGTTGAGAAGAAGTGATACAAACGCTATCTTTGGTGTTGTACTTTTAATACCCTCTTTGTGATTGATCATATGAAGCATGTTTAACTATCATTAGTCCATTCATTAAAACAATTATCATTACTTATGGGTAGATAGTTTTATTTTCTTTAAAATGAGAAATTTAAAATTCATCTTTC